CTACATTCCAGGTCCCGCTCAGTCTCCGGTCCCGGCCTCTCCACCCTCTGCAAGCCCGCTTTGGCCCTGGAGAGCCAGGCGGAGCTCCGGAGCCCTCAGACTCGCGTTTCCATCCTGATCTGCATGCTGGGGTCTGTGACTTGGGGGCAGAGATCCCTTTACTTACAGGCTGTGCCTCTATCACTCCTCAGCTTTGTGTCCCGTCCAACCTGACCCTGCTGCCGGGACACCTCTACATGATGTCCGAAGTCCTGAGCAAGGAGGGGGCGCGCCGCGCGCTCGAGGTGCCCCCGTGAGTGAGGACGCACACGGGGGGCGGGGCTACCCGTCGGGAGGCGGGGCCTTGCCTGGGTGGGCGTGGTCTTCGGGGGCTGTCCAAGGTGCCTGGGGGGGCAGGCCCTGGAGTGTGGGTGCGGTCTAGGTGTTTGCAAAGGTACAAATTCTTTGAGAATCCCGGTCCCTGAAAGGTCTGTCTGAATCTCTCCTGGGACTAAGGGACAGGATTGATCTCGGGTTGAGTCTTGCGTCCAGGAAGTAGAGCAGGATCTCGGGGGGCCGGGTTCTGTGGGGCCTAGTCTCCGGGGCGGGGCTTTGCCGGTAGGTGACTTGCCTGCTCTCCCCAGGTGCTTCCTGAAGGTGAGCCGGCTAGAGGCTCAGCTCCTCCTGGAGCGTTACCCCGAGTGCGGAAATTTGTTGCTTCGGCCCAGTGGAGCCGGGGCAGACAACGTGTCGGTCTCCACGCGACAGGTGGTCAACGGGTGCGCATGCGCAGCTTGGGGGCCCAAGGTGGGAGGAGAATTTGTTTGGGGGCGTGGCCAGTGCCGGGGCGGAGTCGAGATGGGCGTGGTCAGCGTTCGGGGCGTGGCATCCCCAGCCCTAACCCTAAGGCGATGGGTGTCAATGCTCGGGGAGACTTGGAACCCGGTCGGGGCTGCAGGGATGCAGATCCTTTTGGGTAAGGGGCACAGCCGGGGGCAGGGCTGGGAACGCTGTGGGCCAAGGGCTAGCGCGAGTTCAGGTGCTGGGGATAGAGTCTGGGCCTCTGGGACAGGCGCAGTCAGTAACATCCAAGAATGGAAATAAACCATTTGGGCGTGGTCAGTACCTGGGAGGAAGTCGAGGCCGGAAGGGGGCCGCGGTCCTTGCTCTTTACAACGAGTTCGCGAGGAGCCACTCACTCTGGTGGTAGAATCAGAGCCCAACACCAAATTCCCTGAACATCCTTTAATTAGGGGCAGGGCCACGTTGAGGGAGGGATCAGAGCCCTGGGGTGGAGCTGTAGGAAGGGGCGAGGCCGTCCCTGAGGGTGGAGTCAGTTGACCTGGTCCTTCCAAGGGCGGTGGCGGGACTAGGATCGGGGCCTCCGTTGGGGCAGGAGCCAGCTCTGTCTGCGTCTTCCTGAGGGCGGGGCCTCATTGGGGGTGGGGTCTATCGGGCCTGGCCCTTTCTGGGGCCGGGGTCTCTACTGGGGGTGCAGGCAGCTGGTCGGGCTCTCGCTCGGGGTGGAGCCAGGACTAGGGCGGTTCTTCCCTCCTGGAATGTGATCCTGAGCCCAATCCCTGAACAGGACAGCTGAGGTCCGGCACTACAAAGTGAAGCGTGAAGGCTCTCTGTACGTAATCGATATGGAGGAGCCGGTAAGCACTGAGCCTGGGTCCCCGGCAGCGCCGTGGCGGGGTGGTCCTCTGCCTCACCAGCCCTGAATGTGCCCCCGTCCCGCCCCCTAGTTCTCCTGCGCCTCTCTGGACGCAGTGGTCAACTATTTCGTGTCCCAAACCAAGAGGGCGCTGGTGCCCTTCCTGCTGGATGACGACTACGAAAAGGTGCTAGGTGGGTGCGGCTTCGGGGAGCCTGGGGGCGGGGCGTCCCCACCTCTCCGGCCCCGCCCCTCGGGGGACACCCCCCCAGCCCATCCCCGGCCGCTGCGCCTCCCCAAGCAGCACTTTGTGTTCCAGGCTACGTGGAAACAGATAAAGAGAATGGCGAGAGTGTGTGGGTGGTGTCCTCTGCCCCGGGCCCAGGTGATGCCCCTCCCCACCTGGGCATGGAGGGAGGGGACCTAGGACACAGAGCGCACACACCGCTGGCGTGACCACACTGCCGCCGCATGAGTTCCCAGGGTCCAGGGACAGGGATTACCCAGGCCTTGCCCTGGAGGGGCCTCTAGACTGGGAGGTGGTAGACAGAGCCAAACACAGATACTGTGGGGCCCAGTGGAGGATGCAGGAGAAACCGAGGCTGGGGCACCACAGTGAAGGCCTCCTGCAGGAAGTGCTGCTCACGGAAGGTCCCAGAGCATTGTAATGGGTACCATGGGCAGTGGAGGGACAGACTCCCCAGAGATGAAGACTCCAGGTGGGTGTTGGGAAAGGGTTGGAAATCAGATTGGCCCAGGGATTTGAGCAGAAGAGGCAGGGACACACAGGGACACGTGTGGCTTAGGCCGTGGGCTCCTCCCTGGGTGGGCAGCTGCAGGGTACCCAGGAGTGGGATGGACTGGACTTGTACCACACAAACACGCGTGCGTGCTCTTTGAACTCTGAACCAGCCAGGGTAAACAGAGTCTCCTTTTGTGATAAATGCAAGTTTCACACATGCAAGCACATGTGATGTGTCCCAAATCATAGTCACACAGCATAAAAAATAACATTAAAAAAGAAAATCTTGCTGGGCGTTGTGGCGCACACCTGTAATCCCAGCACTTGGGAGGCTGAGGCAGAAGGATCGCCGTGAGTTCGAGACCAGCCTGGGATACATAGTGAGTTCTAGGTCAGTCTCAACTACACAGTGAGACCCTGTCTCAAAAAAACAAACAAAACCAAATTATAGTCATGCCTATGCACAGCGCATCATGAAAATACCTATCATCAGCTGTGATCACATTCCCATGTGCCAAAGTGCAGATATCCACAGATACAGCCAAATCATACTTGGACACACTCAAGACTCAAGCATATCCTAGAAGCAGGGACACACACCTGTCAGCCCAGCATTCTGGGAGGCTGAGGCAGGAGGGTCACAAGTTAGAGCTCAGCCTGAGCAATTTAGTGAGACCCTGTCACAAACAAAATGTAGAAAGGCCTGGGGATGTAGCTCAGTGCATAGACCCTGGGCTCAATCCTCAGCACCACAACAACACAAAACAAAAAACACTCACGCACGCACCTCAGCAGACAGGCCTCGCCATGTATGTGTATGTATAATAAGCGTGTGTACAGAAGCCTTCTATGTATAGTATTTTTTTTTAAGCGGGGAGGTTGAGGCAGTGTCTCATTGTGTAGTTCAGGCTGGCTGCCCTTGAAATCGCACTGGTCCTCCTGCTTCAGCCTCCTGAGGGCTGGGATTACAGGCGCGTGCCAACACATGCAGTTTACATGCAGTATATTTAATCCAAATCCAAACATCGTGCGTATCTACACTGCAGAGATAGACTCCTAAATGGGCACGTGCACGGGAACACATGCACAGGGACACACGTGTCCTCGCTGTACCACGCGGCCCTGACAGTGACCTCCTTTCCCCACCAGGTCCCACACCCCCCGCGGATGGCCCCAAGTCGCTACCGCCTGTGTCCAACCAGGATAAGCCCCCGTTTCCTCCCCTGCCCCCGCCACCGAGCCAAGATGAGAACTACGTGACTCCCATTGGCGACGCCCCGACCACTGACTACGAGAATCAAGAGGGTGGGTGGGGGCAGGGCTGTGAGCGCCACAGGTCGGGGTAGCGGGCGACCAGCCCGAGGGGACAGCGCGCCTTTGTCCACGCAGTGATCTCCCCACGGCGGCCGATAGTCCCGAAGCCCGAGAAGTTGGCCAAGCCCCCAGCCAAGCCTCCGAAGCCACCCATTGTGCCCAGGCCAGGTAGGACGCCCTGCGCCCGCCCCCCTTACATCGGTGGCTGCTGGTCTTGGTCCTCATCTGACCCTTTTTCCAGAGCCCAAAGGCAACCGTAGTGTCTTGACCAGGAAACCACCGGGCAGCACGCCCCAAGCTTTGCTCCTCACGACGAGTAAGTGATCTGGGAGGTGGAAGCAGGTGGGCATCCGGGGTGTGGGGTACCAGGGCCCCCATTCCCAGGGACCTCAAACTAATCCCTCCCCGCTGCTGGGAAACTCCCAGTGCCTCCGAACACATTCTCATTTTGCATCGGGTCCTGGGTGAACCTGGGGTGGGGCGTGCACCAGGGATCCCCGGCCTGGCTGCAGCGTGCGGTCCCCGCTCCCCAGGGCTGGGGGATGTGACCGCAGAGCTGGAGGAGAAGCTGCAGAGGAGGAGAGCGCTGGAGCAGTGAGTGGGACCCACGGGGGCCAGAGAGCCAGTCCCCGCGAACGGCTCACGGCTCCATTCCCTCCGCATTAAAATTCAAGTGACCCGCAGGCTCGCGTGTTTGGCTTGGCCTGGGGAATTGGGGGCGAGGGGTCCGCTGGATGTCTGCCCACCGCGGGCCGCACTTCTTCCCTGTGAGCTCAGAAACTGCCAGTGGATGCTACAGAAAAAGGCCGTGTGACTCTGTGTGCCAGGGGCCGCGGGGCCGGCGGGATGGGCGTGACCGTCCGCCCCCAAGAACCAGGGCCCAGCCTGGCCAGTGTTCGACCTTTATTAGGAAGTGTGGGGGGTGCTCCCTGGCGCCGACCCCCCACTCATCCACAAGTTAAGGCTCCGAGCAGCAAGAGAGAGGGCGGTGCCTGCAGCCCCAGACACACGCTGCTGGCTGGGTGGCGCGGCCTAGCTGAGGCTGGTATTGGAGCTGCTGGTGGCACTTCCCCGCTTCTGCAGGCAGCGCACGGAGCTGGGGACCTGCAGGCCCGGCGTCACGTGGAAACTGCCGCACCAGACCTGGGGAGGAGGCGGAGG